TGGTGACCAGGGCTGATCTTTAGGTCAATTCTCAGGTCCCAACACCACTTGGAAATATTCAGGCTGTTGGTCCTGTCAGAGTAGCTGACAGTCCGCAGTTCTGATCATTTCTGTGCTGACTGTTTTTGTTCAGGTTTTTCCACTAGTTGGTGCCTAATCCACTTCCGTGTAGTTCCTTTCAAAGCTCAGGGCTCCAGGATTTCTTCTGTATCTCTGTCAACTGTTTTCTCTTTTCAAGGGTCTGTGTCACTTGTCTGCCTATTCCTCCATCTTACCAGAAGTCCCCAAACCACTGATCTTTTGATTAGCACCCAAGTGCTGTGACCACTACACCTTAGAGCTCCTAAAGAAACGCTAAATAAGAACTGTATCCACCTGTTCTGACTTACCTACAAATTCAACTTAAAGACTCACTTAGGAATGGATAATGTTTGTAACCCATGCCTGCCTGTAGAGAAAAAGGCAGAACAGGAAAATGTACTGAGAAATATGTGGAGACAATTCATAAAAGAAGCAATATAGAATGACTGATATGAAAGATGTTTAACTTCATTAATTAAGAAATATACATTAAAGCAGCAATAAAATACTGTATGTTTGCCTATAAAGCAATGTTACCAAGATGAGAAAAAACAGACCTTTTTATACCCTAGTTGGGAGTCTGGTGGCACATTGCCTAAGGCATTTGACTGCTAACCCGAAGGTTGGTGGTTCAGACCCACCAGCTGCTCCATCGAAGGAAGATTAGGCAATCTACTTCCTTAAAGATTTACTGCCTTGGAAACCCAATGAGGTCGCTATGAGTTGGAATCGATTCGATGGCAGTGGGTTTTGGTTTGGGGAAATCCTTAAGGAACTGTTGTGGTGTAGTGCTTAAAAAAAAAGATCAGTGGTTCAAATCACCAGCTGCTCCGCAGAGGAAAAATGAGGCAGTCTGCTTCTGTAAAGATTTACAGCCTTGGAAACCCAGTGGGGGTCACTGTCAGTCTGAATTGATTCAATGGCAGTGAGTTTGGTTTGGAGTTTGGGGAGTCCTTGGGTGGGATAAATGGCTAATGTGTTTGGCTATTAACTAAAAGAGTGACAGTTCAAGTCTGCCCAGAGTTGCCTTAGGAGAAAGGCCAAGGATCTATTTCCAAAAAGTCAGCCATTGAAAACCTAAAGTGCAATTCTTTTCTTTCTGATACAAGGCTTAGGTTCTGATTCAGTATATCTGGGGTGGAAATGCAAATTATCAGCAGGGGGTCAAACTGGAATGAACCAGCTTGTAGCCTCATCAGATACACATAGGGTTGCCATGAATTAGAAATCAACTTGACAACTGGTATAATCTTCTGGTGGGAAGAATAAGATTATCTTTCTGGAGGGCTGTTTGACAGTTAAAAGCCTTGGGTTTACATACTCTTGCACCCAGGATTTTCATCCTGGGAATTTATCTTTAGGAAATAAGGATGTGTTCAAAGATTTAGCCATAAACCATTGGTCATGGCTAAACTATTTCTAATATTGAAAGACTGGAAAAATCTTGATTTCCTGACAATAAGAAACAAAATAAAATCCATTACCTTCAAGTTGATTCTTACTCATCTGTGTTAGATAAAATGTGGTATATATTCATGCAGCCATTTAAAACATTATTAAAGGCAGGTCTCTTATCAAGGATCTAACTAAAACTCACTGCCATGGAGTCAGATCCAACTCATAGTGACCCCTCCTTGGGTTTCCGAGGCGGTATCACTACGGAAGTAGACTGCCCAATCTTCTTTCCAAGGTGTCTGGTGGACTTGAACCACCAGCCTTCTGGTTAGCAGTCAAATTGCTTATAATCTATTAAGTCAAAAGTGCAGATTATAGTACAGTTGGATCACATCTTTATTACAAAGAAAAAAAGAAGTTATACATTCATAGAGAAAGCTGGAAGGATATATGCCAAGCAGTTAATAGTGGCTGCCACTGCTTGAAGGAAGGTTAGTCAATCTACTTCCATAGTGATAACTGCCTCGGAAACCCAAGGAGGGGTTGCTATGAGTCGGGTCCAACTCCACAGCACATAACAACAACAACAAGCCTCCAAATGAGGCCTAGTAGTGTATTCTCTGATACACTACATGAGCAGAGAGGCTACTATAGTGATACCACAGGGATAGATTTAAAAAACAAAAGACTCTGCTATTGAGTCAATTCTGACTCATAGCGACCCCCTTTGTATTTTTAAGGCAGTAAATCTTTATAGGAGGAGATTGCCCAGTCTTCCTTCCTCCGAGTGGCTGGTGGGTTTGAACCACCAGCCTTCTGCCTTTTCATTAGCAGTAAAATGTCTTAGCCATTACATCACTAGAGCTCCTTAGGGGTAGATAAGGATACTTTATAATTAGCACACAGTACTCCAGCCAACATGTCTGAACCAGAGTTCTTTGCCATTAACTCAAGGCTCAGTCTCCATGCCTCTGCTCTTTCTACTTAATGTTCTTTTCCTGGAGAGTCTTCTATTTTCAGAGCTTCTACAAACACCTTTGGTGATTAGAGGTCCCCTCTGAATTTCTTTCCTCTGTGGTCAACTGCTTGATAGTCATTTCCACACCAACTCAAACACAATAGGAGTAAACCTATCCTCTTCTTCCAAAACAACTCTCCTAGCTGCCTTTGGTTTATTGGCAATTTAACTCCCATCATTCAGTTCTAAAGTCATTGTAATGACTCTTTCTGCTTTCCCACATCTAGCCTTCCCCAAGCCTGTCTTGTGGTGTTCCCTCTCATTCTCTCTGTTCCCCATTCTCTCTACTAACCAAAGAAGTGGTCTCTGACCTGTGTTTCCCTGCTGCATGCCATTTCTGACTCCACACATGGTCCAGGCCACATCAACCCTGTGTGAACTGCCATAGTCAACTCCCATCCCTGATTACATGTATTTTAGATGCTGCTCCTGGATTCGTTTTCTAGAACCATACCTCAGATAACTTCCTTCTCTTGCACACAATGTTTAAAGCTTCACAGACTTCTTAGTATTCTGGCCCCGTAGTTTCTCCAAACATGTTTCACAAAGCCCCTTCACTCCCTCCAGCTAACCCGCCTGCCTGCCATTCCCACACATACACTGTATGCTATTCTTCTGCTTGGGGTGGCTCCCATTTGGAATGTCTCCCTGCCCTGGCTCTTGACCTCTCTGAGGTTTACTATTTTAAAGCTCTGTCTTTGCTTTAAAATCATGTCAAGTACATCTAGGAAGCCTTCCCAAATAGCGTAACCCTTGCTGATCTGCCTGTCTGCTTCCCTGGGCCAGCCACTGTGATCCTCATGTTTGGAGCTCCGTGGGGTGCAGTCCACCGACCCTGTCTCTATGTCTTGTGTCCTGTGTCTCTCTTTTGAGGGGAGTGCTCTTACTGGAGCCTCAGTGCCTGGAACCCCAAGGGGTTGAAGCAACACTTTTGATGATCGTGGGTTATTCTTTTTACTTACATTTTTCTAAAATATACTGGGTTTCTCCCCTGCCCTGTCCTCAGGCATTAATAAGGATTTTCTGTATTCTAAATATTTTTACTTTGGTTATTAGGCTAGATTTCCTTTCTTTCTTTTTTATTGTGATTTGGGTGAAGTTTTACAGAGCAAATTCACTTTCCATATAGCGGTTCACATACACTGTCTCATGACATTGACCACAGTTTACCACAATGCACCAGCTCCCCTCCCACTTCCTCCCCATAGTTACCTCTTCCCTGTGTCCATCCCTCCATGCACTCCTACCTCCTGAGCTGTCTAGATTTCCTTTCTTTCACATGTCAAATTGAAGCAATTTAAAGTTTAATAGGACATAGTGTGGAAGCCTGTAGCAGTGTGGTTAACAGCAAGGGCTTTGACTTCAGACTGCCAGGGTTCCAGTTCTGCCCCTTACTAGCTGTGTGACCAGGGGCTAGGTGCTTACCCTCTCTGTGCTCAAGCTTCCCCATCTGTAGAAAGTTTGGTTAGGAATAGTGCCTATCTAGAGAGTGGTGAGTATACAGTGAAATAATCCATGGAAGGTGTTTATTATAGGACACATAGTAAACACTCAAATGTCAGCTATCATTAATGTTACATTACAAAATTGGAATTGTGTTGTTTATAAAACTTGCTTTTTCATATAACATATTGGGATCCTCCTTCCGGGGAGATAAACTTGCATTCACATCATCACTTCCTCTGTCCTTTAACAATGTCATACTGATTTTGCTATCCTGTGTCTCTCACAGCTGACCTTGATTGATCTGATTGTCTACGGATCCCTGGAAGCTGTTAACATCCACAGTGTTAGATGGTCAAGGGTCTTAAGGCCAGTCTTCCTAATTAACTTCCCTGAAAGTCGTCAAGTAAGGATATAATTGAGTGGTTTGGTTTTGGTTTTTGCAGAAAATTAGCCGATTTCTTGTAAATGAAATTGAACTTTGTGTTTGCAGATCCGAAGAGCTTTCCGAAGCATCCGAAACACTCTGCCTGATATCCTCTATGTCTTCCTCTTGTTTATATTCAATATGCTGATATTCTCCCTGATGGCCTTGAAGCTCTTTGGGGATAGGTGAGCACAATTCTCTGGTAGTTTTCAGTATTTGGGTTAAGCCTTTTGGTGGCAGGATCAGTCACTGGAAGCGATCTTGCTTGTTCAGACACGCCAAGGGTACTCTCAAAAGGGGAGAAGTGCATCAGAAACCACAACTTAATTT